AAGGTGAGGGAGCTCCAAACTGTGTTTTGTTTAAGAATTTGCTTCTTTTACTTGATACTAACTCTCACTGGACTGACTATTTGTTTGATCGATCGACCGACTGATCAATTCAATTTTTTTTTTTTAGATGCCAAAAACTAAACCAGGATATTATGCTGTACGAAAAGGATGTAAACCAGGAATTTATTTAACTTGGGATGAATATGAAGCGCAAGTTAATAAATTTCATAATGCTATGTATAAAAAATTCTCTATTCGTATCGAAGTTCAAAAATTTATTGAAGGAAAATATAAAGTTTCTGTAATTTTAAACAATAGTAAAATTCAAATTTGGACAGATAGATTATCATTTAATAATGGTACAACAAGAGCTCGGGCAGTTATTGGAGTATTTTAGAAGGATAATGACCCTAATAATTTAAGCGAAAGATTACCAGGTTCGGAACAGACTAACAATCGCGCAGAAATCTATGCTGCGATTAGAGCACTCGAAGTTTGTGAAAATAAAATAAAACCTTTGGAAATAATGACAGATAGTAAATATGTAATCAACATAATTGAAGATTGGGTCAAAAATGGGAAAAAAATGGATATATAAGTTATAAAAATACACTGGTCAAAAATCAAGATTTAATCAAAAGGTTAAAAAAACTTATTGACAATAGAATAGGTACAGTTCGATTGATTCATGTTAGAGGTCATTTGGGAAATTATGGTAATGAACAAGCTGATAGATTAGCTAAACTTGGTTCATTACAAGAAGCAATTGAAGAAAATCCTAAATTAGAAATTTGTTCTAAATATATTACTGATTATTTTAACAAATAAAATCTTTATATTTATTGATTAAAAAATATTTTTTATTTAAGTTAATAAAATTTATTAATCTTAAAAATTTTGAAAATAAGATATTGATTAGAAACAATTCAACTCGTTGAATTGTTTATCATCAAATCGAGGCGTTTGAAATTCCTTCACAAACACCTACTGAAGAGTGAGGGAGTGAGAGAGAGAGACTAATAGTTAGTCCATTTTCTTTGTTTAAGACATTCATTATAACAATTTAAGGCGAGACAGGGTTGTAGCCGTATCATTGATGTTAAAGACATCAACGATTAGAGAACCTTAAATCATTGTAAGAACAGAGTAAACAATTTTTTACTAATCAGTTTTCAAACAGATTAGATTTTTTTGGATTTAAATATTAAAATGTTTTCTCCAGAAATATTTCTTAATATACTAAATTTTTATGAATTTACAAATTTTGAGAAAGTTAAAACTATATCACTAGTTAATAAAATGTTTTATAATCTAACGAAAAGCATTTTATTAAATATAATTTAAACCAAATTATAAATTAGAAATTAATAACCAAAACAAAGATTGTGATGAATTAAGATTTGATCAAATTTCTACATTATGTCAAGATTGGATTGTTACTGAAATAATTTGGAAAAATTCGAATAA